GGGACATGGGTTTGAGCCCTGGTCTGGGAAGATCCCACATGCTGCGGAGCAACTAAGCCCATGCGCCACAACTACTGAGCCTGGGCTCTAGAGCCCACGAGCCACAACTACTGAGCCTGTGTGCCACAACTACTGAAGCCCGCATACCTAGAGCCCGTGCTCTACAACAAGAGAAGCCACCACAATGAGAAGCCCGCGTGATGCAACAAAGAGTAGCCCCCGCTTGCAGCGAATGAAGACCCAACGCAGCCAAAAATAAATAAATTTATTAAAAAAACCCAAAAAACAAAGGCATGTCTTCCTGCCACCAAGAGTTGCTCTAGGATAGACACTTAGACATGGTTTTGTTGGATATGCTCATCTTCACGTTTGCTAGATATTCTCAAAAATTTTTCCAAGTGAGTACACTAATTTACTCTCACTAACAATGTTAAAACATTCCCTTCTCCATACCCTCCAATACTTGACATTATGAGAATTTTTTTTTTTTTTTTGCAGTACGCGGGCCTCTCACTGTTGTGGCCTCTCCCGTTGCGGAGCACATGCTCCGGACGCGCAGGCTCAGCAGCCATGGCTCACAGGCCTAGCCGCTCCGCAGCATGTGGGATCTTCCCGGATCGGGGCCCGAACCCGTGTCCCCTGCATCGGCAGGCGGACTCTCAACCACTGCGCCACCAGGGAAGCCCGAGAATTTATTAATTGATGCCAATATGAAGATTGTGGAGTGATAATTAATAATTATGCTTAGATGATATTTTCCTGAGGTCCCTTCTAGTCAGGTAATTGTGGTCACCACATCAATGCCAAGTCTTATCAAAATAATAAAATAAAGGATGTGGGGAAAAAAAGCCTTTTTCCATATTTTACAATGAATTTACTTTTTCCTCAAGAAATGTCTTACATGGCTAAGGCTGGCCCATAACCCATAAATCAGGCCATAAAAGAGGAATGGGGACATGGCCCCAGCTCTGTATTTATTTTCTTGTATTCCATAATCCAACGTTACTTAAAAAGCAAACGGCCCAATAGTCAAGCCAAAGCAAATACTTTGCATTTTGCCAGGCAAAATGTCTGTGGAGAAATGAGTCAATTCATACAAGATTCAAAGCTGTCTTTGGTCAGTGACATTTTTGTGAAAATCTGTGGGTGGGTAAAAGTTTTACAAAATTCCTTTTTGCTATTGGATAAAATTCATCCAGGAAAAATAAGCAAAATTTAAGTGGCGACCCACATTCCCCCTAATTCCCTCATTAACACTCCCTAACCTCCCAGCCCAACTGCTTTCTTTTGTGCACAAAGGCCAGGATCAGTGTTTCTGATCCTGGCAACAGAACCCTGTCCCTCTGCTCACTCTGCCCTGATCAGATAGGCTTTCTCATAAGAAGTGTGTCTGATCTCATTCAGAGGACACCTTCCTGGGAACGCTACTGAGGTGTTGCATACTCTTCAACTTAATGGCAAAAAGACCTACTACGGTAAAAACATTCTCAGTGTGCACTCAGTTGGAACACTTACTATGGCTACTGTTAGGGATGGTTAGTGTACATCTATAGTTTGGGGTTATTCTTTACATTGTCCTTTTAGGAACATGAAACAGGGGGTTGGGAAAGAAACTAATTATAAGGCTCCATTACTTGCTCTGACTTGAGAATTTGAAACCTTATCATCTCAGAAAAACATAATAGAATTCAGCAAAGTTATACCTGGGAATGTTCAAAAGTTCTGATAATTCTGAGATTCATCAATGTTGAGGTTGGTCTAAGCTCAGGAAGGTCTAAATAGAATGATCTGGCACCTACAAATTGCTTTATCAGTAGACAGAAGTGAATGGACTCAGGTGTTTTTAATATAATATTGCCATATTCCAGTTTCTGATTTAACTGAGGTCTGTCTGTCTGCCTGCTGAGGCCTTTACTTCTCAAGGCCTTTGCCGATGGCTGGGAATATCTCTGTAATCAAGGCCAAGAGCGGGAAGACAGCAGCTGGTTTCGCTCTCCACAGAAGTAGTAAGAATGAGATCTACAGAAGGGTGGAGTTGTTTGGGTGGGAAAGGGAAAAGAAACCATTCTCTCCTTCCAGTAAGTTAACCAAATAATAAATTAACAATCCTCCCCCAGTTCTGCCACCTAAAGTCCTGAGAGATCTGAATCCCAGAGTTCTGGGTAAGGCTGAGGAGTTACAGTCAGAGACTCTGAGAATGTGTTCTCCCATGCATGAGATGGAATTTGGCATCAAGGGAGGACACCAGTGGTAGCCTCTTACTGTAAGCAGGCTGTCACTGAATAGCCCTTTCACACATCCTCCTTTTCACATGATTTCCAGAAGCTCATTGTGCTGCCTGTAGTCATGGTCACGAAACACAATTGGGTCATCACATCTTTCTTGGGTCAATAAGCTAAGTGAGTGAAAATGATGACTAACTCTAACTATGGCCCACAGAAAATTAATAGCAGTTAAACATACGTAAAACAAAAGTGGACAGGGTCTTATAATTTAAACTGCTCCTAGCCTTTGCAGCATGTGACACAGCCACAAAAACCCAAAGATCACTTCATGTCTCCAAAAGAAGAATGTGGTCATTTTACTTGGCAAGGATCTTGAGCTTTGAATCAACTACCATCAGTTTCTAAAAAAGTGAGAGATGAAACTGTTCAGTTTTAAGAGTTCTGTGTCTGGATTCCAAGAGTGTAAAGACTGGTTTTGCAAGAGGCAGAAAAATGCATCTTTTTCAGATGCGCATCCACATTAAGCACAATGTCTTCTCTCCATGGGCTACAACTTGAGAGGACTGCTAAACTTTCAGAGCAAAATTACTTGCTGCCAGTTAGCTACAACCCTACAAATCAAGCAGATGACAGGCAGCACCATAACAGTTTTCACAAGACACGATGCTCAGGATATGTACGTTTTATATTCCTGCTAAAAATATACAGGCAAGAACTGCAGCATTAGTCAGCCCCTAAGAAACCCTGTTTTGTACAATACATTTGCACTATAACATGTGATTTAATGCTTTGTGGGTCTAGATTTGATATGTTATTAAATCTAGCAATCTAAATTTTGCAAAGATTCCATCTAGAAATGGGGAGTAGGCAGACTAGGGGAGAGAGAAAAATCACCTCCCATACCCATCTTGAATAATACCATGAAAAGCTATGCAGACGCCTGCAAACATTCACCTCTCAGCTTATTCTTTCACTGAAGTATTTCTATTTTTAATAGTCATCATGCACTTTAGCAAAAGTCAACTTTATAAAGTTATACGCCTTTTCAAAATCTGGGGATAGTGGGAAAATAGGGAAATCCTTTTGCACAAAAATTAATTTTGCAATGCAAAAAAAATATGTTTTTGGATAATTCAAGCCTATATGTTTATTTCAGTAAAGCCAAATCCAGCAAACTATTTTCAGCCAGGATTAGTCAGAACTAAAAGGCTGGACTGTTTTCCTTCAGAGACTGAATGTCTTTCTTGCCTGCAATAGGCCGGTGTGTTCCAAACAGAGTAAATGGAATTGCCTTCAATTGCTTGTCTCTTTCTGGCATTTTTAATGCAGAACCTTACTGACAGAGTAAGGTTTTGTTCGCTGGAATGTAATTATTCTTTTCAGTCATATAACCTGGCATTCTTACAATGTATGAGCTTCAAGTTTTCCTTAAGAAGAATCATAACATGGGGCATAATGTAAGGACAAGAAATGCAATTTCATTCCTCCAGAAATTCTTAAAACTCTTTCAAAAATACCTACTGGATGGTGAAAAAGCACTTCTAATACTTGCCTTACAACTATCAACTGTTTGGTTTGCTTTTACATGAATCTGACAACTTGGCCAATCTATAATCAAGCATAAACATGGTAAACATGGCCCAGATTCTTTATTATCAAGACATACTACAGAAAGAAGGGACTCTGGCTGGGGGAACCACCATCTAAATAAGTTCCTTTTCCAAATGATATATATTTTTTACACATTTAGTGACCTGTAGCATATTCAATATCCAGGGAATACCTAAAATTCTCAGATTCTTAACTGTAAAAGAAAAATTCCTGTCCATCTAAACTAACATAAAACACAAGCTCTTCTTTTTCCAAGAGTTAAGCGAGCTGTCTGAGATTGTGCAAAGCCACCCTGGGATCCCAGGGGTGATGTCCTGCTTGTAAACCCTGAGGGTTTCTGTTAGGTGTGAAATGTTTGTGCAACCATCTAAGAGTCATATTATTCAAAAACAGTAAATTCTGCCAAGAAACAGAGATAGTTCCAGGATTGATGTTGTGAAAGGGGGAAGTGGGGAGAAAGAGACACCATGCCCGCTTCCTTCAACACCAAAGACACAGTCCCCTCTGGGTTCTTTCTCCTTATACATTTTCCACCCAACTCCCTCTCCTTAAAGTTCAGGGAGATCCAGTAAGACTCAGCTCCTGTGGTAACCCTGAGTGTTTTCATGCTGGCTATAAATCATTAACTAGTCTTACAACCTTGGAGGGTGCAGTGTGCAGGCGTGTGGGTGTATGCAGCAACATTTTTACTAGCCAAGTTGCTAAGTGTGAGTTCCTTTCTAAATATCAGAACCACCCCTCTAACCCTAACCCACACCCAGTTATTGGAGGGAAGGGAAAAATCACTGAATATTTACTTTGGAAAAGAGCTAAAGCTTGCTGGTGGTGTAGTGTGTGTTCCGCTGCCCTGCACATTTCAGCAACTTCAAGCTGGTGCCCGGGGGGAATCAATTTTCCAAGACTTTGGACAGTGCGGCAGTGTGAACCTCCCCGATCATGTACATCTGCAGAAGAGAATCTAGAAGTGGAGATTCTAGATTCCAGCCACTAATAATTAAAGAAAACTTCCCCTTTCTCAGGCTGAAGAGGATACCTAGGTATCATGGATACCTAGACCCAGAGCATCCAAACTCCATAAAAGAAAAAAATGCCGCCTAACTTGTGGCGGCGTTTGTTAAACCACATACACCTTCAATGAACTCCCGTGGGCTTTAGGCGACTCACCGAACACTTGTTGGGCTTCTCCCCCGAGTGGACTCTCATGTGAATCAGCAGTTTATAGCGGGCATTGAATGGCTTGTACCTTCGAGGACAACCGGCCCAGAAACAAGTGAAGTCTTCCCCTTTGCGCTGATCTATGTGAACCTTCTCGATGTGCCGCACAAGTTCCTCCTGCTGGTCATACAAGACGCTGCAGTCAATCCAGCGACAGCAGTGCTTGCCCCCAACGTCTTCCATCTCCCCATCCTCCTCCAGGGCAGCCTGAGGCAGGGCCAGCGGTTGGGTGTGGTGGACGAGCTCTGGGTGATGCAGGTGCGGGTGGGCGTGGTAGGGGGGCGGGGGGCCTTGGGGCGGAGGTGGCAGAGGAGGCAGTGGGGGTGCCGGGGGCAAGTCCAGAGCGCCGCCCGGGAAGTCATCCAGGCGCTCCGTCTTTAGCAGGCCCGCCGGCTGGCCGTCAGAGTCCAGCAGGCTGTGCTGCACCACCATGTTGTTGACCAGGCCGGGCTGCAGGCCGCCGTGCTCCAGTTGCTGCATGCGCTCATACTCCAGCACGCTGTCCTCGTTGTAGCCTGGAAGAGCCAGGCCGCCACTGGCCACCCGCACGCCCTTCTGGCTGCTTGGCACCGAGCCTGGCTGGGGAATACAGCTGCCGCGCACCCCCAGGAAATGCCCATAGACCTCTGGCTGTGGGGACATGTTGGCCGGGGAAGACCTCGACCCGTTGATGTAGGCGACCAAGGACGTGGGCGAGGTGCGGATGATGGTATTGAAGTCTATCCCAATGCCATCGGACAACGGGGACAAGGACAGTGCTCTCTTCTTGGAGCGGGCCGAGTGGGACCTGGCCGAAGAGTGCCGGGAACTAGGGTAAGGAGCGTGGCTATTTTCCATCCCGAACAGGTAGGATGGCAATGAGTTAGAGACACTGTTGCTGGGCATGGCTGTCCCAGGAGGAAGGCTGAGGAGGTCCCCTAGATCAGTGCCATTCTGAGGGCTGTGGCTGGAGGAGAGCGAAGGGAGAGGCCTGTAGCCGTGAGACCACTCTTGTTTCACGCTCAAGGCTGACTGACTTTCTGTCAGACTCAAAGTTGAGGATGCCAAAGACTCACGCGAAATAAGGGACCTGGAACAGCAGCCAGAAGGCGGGGAGGAAAAAAAAGACAAACATTTTAGCAGGATATGGATTGCCTAAGAGCTAAAAGAACATTGCATTGACAATCGCTTAAGTATTTCCCCTAATTACATTCTCGGCTAAACACACATTCTTTGGCTAAGATAAAACCCAAGGCCTTTAGTTCCAGGTAAATAACATTTTACCAAGAAGAGCAATAAAAGCTAATGCTCACTGGAATAATAAAACAAAAAGATCTACTGTTATAAATAATCTTAATACTTTAAATGATAATAAATCGTCCTTGCTTTATTTTTAAATATCTTTTTTTAATACAGGGAAAAAATCAGAGACCTAGGAATAATTATTGAAGCTTGTTATGGAAAACCAAATAAACAAGTATTTATTAAGCATCTACTGTGTGCAGCACACTACAAATAGGCATTGCAGAACACAAGTCTAAACGGAGTCCCAGCCTTTGAGTGAAATCTGTTTGGTGAGGTAAAACATAAACCTATGCTTAATTTGAAAAGAAGAAAAAAGTAAATCCTCAAAGTCATCCAGGGGACCTAATAATAACTTCACAAGTTTATTTCACTGATATTAAGGAATTTTAAATGTTTCTATAAAAGATAGCAATTCACACTGTAAGTACTCAGTCACAACATCAAATTGCCCCAGAAATAAAATATATATAAAATACAGCTGTAATATATATGGGAGTGACAGCCTGAAATCAAGTCATATTTGTAATTATGCATTTGGGCTGTGCAGGGTTTAATCACACCTGCTAGTTTGGATCTTCCATGAACTGTTGTCCTTGAATCAGAGCAGATTTGGACTGAGAGCAAAGCATTTGCTTTAAGTACTTCACTTTTGCAACAATTCCTCTCCTGTCCTTCTTACCCTTTACAAAACATGCCTCACATGTCACAACAGTTAGCTGAATAACAGAATGCTTTGTAATGTAGTCTGGCCACTTTAAAATTCATTTTGCTTTACTATGACATCATTGCCTTAAAAATCATTGAAGAGAAAAGCTATGCCCTTTGGATGGAAAATCTGTCACAAAGAGGCTGGACATAATTCATAATTCACTGTACTCCCAACTCAGAATAGTGTATCCTGAGTTGTAGTGTATCAGAAAAACCTAACTTCTTTATATGTACTTGCACTGGCTTTCTACAGAGATCTTTTCTCTGACAAAAAATTTAAAATAAAATATTGTATAGAATGTTTATCTTCCCAGAATGAACCCATTTACTACTTCCAGCTGTTATACAGCAACCTGTTGCAAAAGAACTGAGGGAAAAATAGAAGCATTCTCATCCCATCTGTTCCTCTTCTTTTCACAAAATGGAAGCCAGGAACACTGTTTCCTACAAGCATGAGAAATCAGCAAGAAAACATCTCGGGCTCCGAAATGCACAGTATAAGGTGGTAGATAACACCATTGTCGATGTGGTGTTTCCATCAAGTGAAGTAATGTTTACCGATGACAAACACAGCAGGAA